GCAAAACAGCCGTCGTATAAACCCTCCGACTTGTTTGAGACGTTACACTACTACAAACTGCTACCCTTAGCCCCCTCCGACGTCAGCGCAACTTCCCAAGCTCAGAGTCATTCCCATGTCCAATCACACCGGGTGTTTCGGTCCGGGCCGTCAGCCCAATCGGAAAAAGCGACAAACAAATGTCCAAGGTGGTCGCAAGGCATCTTCTACAAGTTCTAGGGCACTCCTTCCAGTCAGCCGTCTCAGCCGTCTCCCCCGGTCGTAACTTACTCTGCCTATTCATACACTCTACAGACAGGATGAACCACTGGAGTTCCCCCCTCGCTCTGCGGACGGGACCCATATAGACCTCCCGAAGTATCTTGCGATAATTCGTGCAAGTCCCGAGACACGTCTCGCCTTCCAAGCTTCCGGGCTCCCCGAGTCGAAGTACGCTTCCTGGGAGGATGAGCTCATGGAATCCATAGAGAAACGGTTTGGGGGCAACACTCTTATACACGGGGTACGCTGCGCGAACTCTCTGTTCTCCTTTCCTTTTCATTCCTGATTTTACCTAACGACAGGCGCCTCCAGCACCAGACGATCCTTCGCTCCAGTACACTGAAATCCCCGCCACGTCGACCACGCCCTTGCTCTCGATCCGTTGGTGGCACGACCCCAAGTTCGGCTACAACTTCGACCTGATCGATCCTCGAACTCTCGAAACCGTGAATCTGCCCTCAAAATTCAAGATCCAATACTACGAAGGAGGCTGGAAGCGACTGATCGCATACAACGAAGCATCCTGTCTTGCACGAGGCAGGCTTATGCATGGAACTCCGCGATGGGTAGTCAAACCAGGTACTAGGATATCAGTCTTCGTGGATGAGACTATTATCGGGGAGGTCTATGCCCCGCGTCCCCCGCCAGGAGAAATTCCCCGTTTGAAACACTCTGGTCCTGCGTGGTGATCTTGGCTCCTAAGTAGCCGTTTATCTGCACCGATATGGTTGCGACGTTGAACTGACTCCACGTCTTGTAGCCGCCCCGCCCCGCCGCCTCTTTACCCTCCTCCCAGCTCGTCGATATCGGCAGCATCAACTTTCTCCGCCTCCCCGATTCGATTACATAGGTACCCGTACTTGATGTAAGAATGAGCTCCTGAGCTCCGGGGGTGCAGGTTGAAGGATTGAACTATTATATAATGTATCCATGAATCGTACATCGTGTGAGAAAGCGAGAGGAACGAGAGGAGCCAACCGACATGGTACGTGCAAAAAAAACGCGGCGACTCTAACGACAATGCTCAAGGACGATGGCCGACGCGTATGGGGAGCTTTCAAAGTAGCAAACGGCCTTTCCGACGCGCACGATATCAAGAGTCATGGCTGAGGTATAAAAGCCTATGTGAGAAATAGGAGATAGCTGACGGTGAGTGGAAGAAAGGGGAGGGTCTGATGAACTGATTGCACGAACAAGGGTCGTGGGCCTACTTGAACATCAGCGCACGCACATACGGCGGCCGGTGTGCGGTGGCGGCCGCATATTGTGAGCCACATTGCATTGACGTTCAACCTTCAATATGCGGTTTGTTCGGTTGAGGACCGACCAATGTTTTTTCCCATCGAGAGTTCAAGTAAATGCGCAGATCAAAGGCGTCGTTGTTAATGATTAGTATTGACAGACATATTAGCAAACCTGGAACGACAAGAGAGACGTCGTTCGCCATGTACTATTGTGCTATCATCGTTGTTCATCCCTGCGAACACAGATCAGAGAAAATATAAAGATAAGCCAAACACCAAGCATACCTGCGTACGCTGTTCTGCACCCTTATGAACAGCCAATCCACTGCCGCGCGCACGCCCGTCCTTAATCGCGTTCATGAGTAACGCGCTCCATGTCCAGAAAAAGAACGCGAACAACGCACCCCTCGAGCGCCGACACGCCCATCACGTCCAAACTCGCAATTCGCTCGCGCCGGTGCTCCATCTCGCGCTCCTCGCCGTACCCTGCGCTCCGCCGCGCGCTCTCCATCTTCCGCTGGTGCCAGTCCTCGTAATCTTGTCGGATCTCCTCGACGGAGAGGCTCTGCGGGCTGTCCTGCTTGTTCGCGAGGAGCAGGAGGGGCACGCCAAGGATCTGCGGGGCAGAGAGAACGTTATCTGAACGCTTGCGCACGGTCAGTGGGTGTCCGCCTTTGCTTAGAATAGGGATGGACATACCGAAGACATCCCAGCCTTCGCCCAAACGGTCGCGATCGTCGGCGTCGACGACGAACACGACGGCATGGCAGTCGTCGTAGTACCGCGGCCAGATAGATCGGATACCCCGCTGGCCTCCCAAGTCCCAGAACTGTAAAATCGTGGAAGGCAGAGTAATTTTACCCACTGTGCGAGGTCATGTCAGCGAGTTCTAAATTAGAGAGAAAGGATAGTGACCGCGCACTGTTCTGCCCGACGGTGGGCCCTATTTTGTCGGGCGGAAGGCCGGGGGTATCATTATACAGCGTCTTGATCTTCTCGAGCAAAGTCTGTTGGCGTATTGAGCGATGCGGCCGTCGAGCGAGACGAAGCCGTCCGACGCACCGTCTTTCCCGCGCCGTCGAGACCAATGATAATCACGGAGAACTCCTCCTTTCTGAAAGTTTCTTTTTAAGTCGCAAGCGCGTACCGAGCGACGCGGACGCACCTTGTGATGTGTTCATGAAGCCCCTTGAGGAGATGGTACATGGATGAACGCACGAGAGAGCGCGGGCGCAGCGCCGAGCCTGCAAGCGACGCCGGACGCGCGCCTTCCTTACACTCAACCGCCACGACCATGGGCCTCGCTTCCTACTACACATACGGCCTTCCTTCCTTCCTCGTCCTCGTCGTCGCTCTATACCTCCTCTTCACAGGTCCGCGTCTCCCCGTCCTCCTTTTACGGCGCAATTCTGACTCTGAGTTACTGGAACACAGGCTCCGGCGAGGCCTTCAACGTCGGCCGTTTCCTCGAGGAGACCAGCCCGTACGTATGGGCGTCTTCTGGCATCGGCCTTTGCATCGGCCTCAGCGTGTTCGGGGCGGGATGGTGCGTGCTTCCTCCTCTCGCTCCTTTCGCCGGTGTGCTGATATAGGCTGCGTTATGGTAGGGGGATCTTCGTGACGGGCGCGTCCATTCTCGGGGGTGGTGTGCGGGCACCGCGTATACGCACCAAGAACCTCATCAGGTGTGTCTTTTCCCACCGCTCCTCAGGGGATCTTAACATGAAAAAATGGGATGTAGTATCATCTTTTGTGAAGTCGTCGCCATCTACGGCGTTGTACGTGCCGTTTCCCCCCGTCTTTTCCATCCTCGCTCATACCACTGCTTCACCTTTCTTTGTCATAGATCATGGGCATTGTCTACTCCGCCAAGCTCGAGTCCATCCCCGAAACGCACCTCTACACCCGCGAAAATTACTTCACCGGTGCGTTCGTCTGTGCATCCTTCCGCATATGTAACCTTGACCAACGATGGGTCGCAGGGTACGCGCTCTTCTGGGGCGGGCTGACCGTCGGCATGTGCAACCTTCTCTGTGGCGTGTCCGTCGGCATCACAGGCTCGACCGCTGCGCTTGCAGACGCGGCCGACCCCACGCTGTTCGTCAAAATCCTCATCGTCGAAGTGTTCGGCAGCATCCTCGGCTTGTTCGGGCTCATCGGTGCGTTCTCCTTTCCGTCTACCCGAGAGATAGCATGAGCTGACCGAAGCATCGTTCGTTGGTGTTAGTGGGCTTGCTCATGGTCGGGCGCGCGTCCGAATTCAAGGCAGCGGCGGACATCACCAGTGCGGTGGTCCCTCTGTTATCGTAAATGGAGCCATTGTTGCGAGGATTGCGTCGCTCGCATGGACATGGCTGCTTATGACTCGTCGCTCTCCATCCTCGATCGCATTCGCAGTGTACGGAATTCTAAGCAATACGGCAGTTAACAATAACACACTCTCCGAGGCGTATACATAAATAAGAACGATAAAGATCATCCGCAAAACGACAGATATCCGGTTAGGCAGACAGTGTGCGTTGTCCGTGGTGAAATATGCGCATAGGCTTGGAACGTACAAACTCCAGACTTCGACCCCTCCTTACCGGCCACGGTTT